AGAAATTATTTGAACTTCACAAAATTGACATATTCAAAACCAAGCTGACAGTATATTAAATGACAAATTGCTAAGAAACATAATTTTCACTTCAATATAACTGTGACAGCCACATAATTCTATCCCTTGGTGTTTCAGTGAATTGGACCAAAGTGAGGCAAAGTCTATAAAGCAAAACGTGGAGTATATCATTACAATACTATCACTGGAACAATTTTTAAATGATTTAATTTAATTTAAATGATTAATTTGAAATTATTTTTTCAATACCTAAATATATACATGTGGGTACAGTACTGTATATATGGAATTGGGTCATTTATAAAAACACACATAACACAGTTAAAACATGAAATCAATTCATTTCTTTCTAGTGTCAATTACCTATGATGGTTTTGAAATATAAACATTTAGCAATGTGTAATATATTTTTAATATTGGTTTTCCTTAATATATATTGGCCTAAGCTAAATAGTAATGATGAAAAATAGACCTTTTGCTTAAAAGCAAAACTCTTATTAAATCTAAAATATTATGGCACAAAATCAAACCACAAAAAGGCCCACATTATGTTATCCTCCTTGATTTTCTGAAGAAAAATAGTGAAGGTTTCCACATGGTACAAATGAAAATGACGCACTCAAATTTACTCAAAGAGAAGACAGGTCCCATAAAATTCAATCCCTTTCTACTACATTGACTGTAATCCTAACAAGTCACTACATTATCTCAATTAGCAGAATAATTTTTTGGGGGTTGAAAACAAGTACAATTCTTTTTGTCATTGTTGCTTAACTCCCCTGTTAAATCAGACTTTGAGTTGAAAGGTCTGAGTAATTGTAGCCTATCTTAAATTGCAACTTTATTTTAAACTTTCATATTTTATTCCAGTAGAATTTTAAGTATATACTGTGTACATTCCYAAGGTCTAGTCATATTAAATTCTGATGTTAAGCAGAAAGGCAAAACCATGCACAACTAGATTAATTTATCTCAAGGGGAAAAGGGCACATTAATAATTGAGATAATGTTTTCATAAATGTTGGACTAAAATGTGCCTCTTCACTTCTTTATTAGAAAACACATTAGAATAAAATTATCTCACTCTCATCAATAAGCCCTAATTGCTGAGAAAGGTTCTATTTTCTTAGAAAAACATTCATAAAGATTTTTCCCCAACACTTCCACATAAGTAGAAATGTATCATGCATTAAAGTCTTGTTGGAATAAATGTRTATAACCAAGGTAGTTGTTTAATGCCTTCTCTAATGTTTTTGTTCTAAAGTGACTGAATTTATTATTTTTAAGAGCACATTAACATTTTGATTCTAAAGTAAATTGGCCCAAAAATAACTAATACAGCTTTTAGTTTGTTAATCTTCTTAAACTACAAAAATTACCTTGGATTTTTATTGCTTTAAAAAGAAAGGAAGGAGAAAAGGAAAAAGGAGGAGAAGAAAAAGAAAAACTCTAGAAATTTCCCATAAACAACTAAAAGATTCAAAACATATTGAAGTAATACAATGATATTTAATTTTCTTAAAATTGTATTTTGAAGAAGTAAGATTATACACAAAGAAAATATTAACTAAAAAAGATAGCATGCTTACAAACCAATCAAACTCTTCATGTCTGAGATATGTTAAATATTAAAAAGTCATTTTTCTAAAAAGGGAATAGAGCTTTTAATGATTAAACAAAGGGAGTAACTAAGGTGACTCTGATTGTTTCTGTAATAAGCCTTCACGTGTATAATAAAGTACAACCATACTAAAAACAATGAACTGTAAACTGAAACAAAAATCCATCATCTACTTGGAAACAATGACAGGGAAAGATTAGCAATCCATTTATTGTACTGAAATAAAGATAAGTAACCCTGGTAAGCTCTATCAGAACCTGTGTATTGAACTCTAAATACAAARGCATTTCTTCATTAGCAAAAGACTTGGAAAAATGTGAGGCACGGAAATGATTACAGTTGACTTTTAAAATGAAATAGTCACTATTCGACTGATTTTGATGTTTTAAAAATCTGCTTTATGTCAATCTGATAATCTGGAAGATATTTGGAAGAATATATTTTTAAATGGATAATTATTATATGAGTCATTAAACATTATTGCCAAATATTTTCTACAGTTTATCAGTTCTTTCTACTATAAATAATAAAATGGTTAAAATTTTTTCACAATAATTGGACATGATAACACAAGCTTGTAATCCTAGCTACTTGGGAGGCTGAAACAGGAGGGTCACAAGTCAAGGTCAGCCTCAGCAACTTAGCAAGAACTTATCTCTCAAAGTAAGGAATAAGAAAAGGTTGGGGATATAGCTCAGCAGTAGAGTGCATGCCTAGCATGTGTGAAGCCCTGGGAAATTAATTTTATCACATCAGAATTTAGGTTTAAAAGGAAAAAATAAAATTTAAAAAACGAGAATCTTCTGTATAAATGTACCTAAATAGTCACATTTCATAAATTATGATGCTTAAAATTAAAAATAAATTTGTACTTCATACCTTAAAAAGTAATTATGCTAATAAAAATCTGAAATTTATTTTTAAAAGAGTTGTATTTTACAAATAGACATTGGCACTACATGACCTGGCCCTGGTTAGCTGTGTTTTTTTATGAAGTCCCAGGAGACACTGTACATAGCTGAAGTCTTAGTATTCCTTCAATCCCCCAAATGTGTATTATTATAACTATTGTACAAATGACTAAAACAAATCTATYAATATGTCTTGAATTTAGGAGTATGGAGTTTTATATCATTTAGGCTTACACCAAGTAAGTCCTTCTTATATCACAGAACTAACTCTACATGTCCTCCTGACTCACCCCAAACAACAGGTAAGACTCATTTTATATCTACAGAAGCCTCAAGAAAAAGAAGAAAGCAGACTACATGCCCCAGTCTCTTTACTATAATAGAAGTTTAATTTCATTAAGTACAAGTAAAGGTATCAAAGAAAGGTCCCACTGTGTTAATATAAACTATCCTATTCTATATGTGTAGTAGCCCTCTGCCAATATTCTAATCATTTAAAGCCTTCTCAAAAAAATTTTTTTTACTATGGTATTTTTTATTCACATTTATGATTTTGTCTTCTGTTCTCTAAAAAATGGGCATCAGAGGGCAATATGCTAGTTATCAGTTTAACATTTTCAGATAGAACAAATCTGTAGCACAGAACAACTACTTTATGATCTCCCCAGAAAAGAACTGGCAGACCCCTAATTACATGATATTACTGTTCCTAATAACACCACTGGAATCTGAAAAGTGCTTGAAAATGGTTTTAAACTTTAAACCACACTAGAAGTTACAACTAAGTAGTCAGAAACAAACAAACAACAAAAACTAGGAAATGATTCAAAACCAGATGCTTTGATTATGTCCCAGTTGTCACTTTTCCTATGTCCAAGYTCTAACTTCTAAACTACCTACATGGACCTACGCACCAAACCATTTTCTCCTGCCCTGCTTTAGAAATCAAATGTTTCTTTTTTTACTTTTAAGAAAAGCCCCATCTGCTCTTTTTATTTTTAAGAAAAGCCCCATATGCCCATTTTTTTACCCCTTGCTCAGGAATCCTTTTCTGAAAGATGGAAAGGGTATAACTGTTTACCAAACACAGTTTAGGAGTAAAGTGGAACTTGGGGGAGCTGGGTGCAAGACTCTGGGGGACTACTGTGAGGAAGGTAGCATGTCCTCACATTGGGCTCACACATTCAGCTCCTCCTCCATCAAAGGGAGCTCTGTAAATACAGGCCTCAACACCCCAATCCCAATAGTCATGTGGGGTTTCTGGACACCAAGTTTGTTTTTCGTAACACTATCTCCAGGATACTGTATCTCYAGGACCTGATACATTACCCGCCTGAATGGGGGCTCAACAAACGTTTGAGTGGATTATTGAGTCCCATGAGTTTTATTTAGTGACTGTGAGGCATCTCACAGTAAAAGTGATCATGTTGACAAGCCACTGAGCTAAGTGTTGCAGAAATATCCCGTTATTGGAACTCTGAGGCCCATGTCAATTTGCCACTTAGTAATTAAGAAGCTTTCTTTCTGACTGTTTCTACTTCATTATTTCACCTGGCTACAGTTGGATTTACATATTAGTTAAGGTTATGATTCATAGCATCTTTTATTTCATAAATAACTTTACATGAGTGAAAGTGGCTAAAATCAGTTGGGGATTTCCTAATGATAATTGTCTACCTCTACAAGAGTGGACCTCAATAATCAACCAGGAAACCCTGGAAGAAATCTTAGTTTAACATTTTTCAGATAAGTTATTTTTAAATAATAGCATCAGATATTGGGTTACAAAAAAAATGCTCAGAGTTTCCCCATATTTTGATTTTCCATTTTGTTGAAAATTGCATAACTTCACTTTCTCAGAAAGAAGAAAAAATTGTAATCTTTAAATTTACAATATAATTTACAAAGTGCTTGGGCACTTTGGACGTTGTGAAACATGTTTGGATCTCTCTCATTCAGCAAATACAAAGAGAAAATAAACCTGACTCCCCCCACCCCACCTCATCTCATCTCCTCTCTGTGCTTTTGTTTCTTTCTGCCCTAGGCCCAGAAACAATGGAAGAGCTTAAATGGGACATAAAAGTCAACCCAAAGCCCAATGTCTCTGCTCCATCTCCTTAGCCTGTTTTCTTTTTCTCAAGATGCAGACAGACCAGTGGTCAAATACATCCCAGCTGGAACAGAAGCAGGTTAAGGTGGCTCTGTCTTTAGAAACCAGTAGGCCCTGAGGGCTAATTTGACATTTTGCCAGATGCTACTGGGCTAACCTCCTCACCCAAGGTGCTTCAGGCATTTTCTACAGATCAGGGAAATCTGTTCTCCAACATCCTCTTGGAGCTTAAGGGAGGCTCTTCTGAGGTTGCCACCTGCTAAGGACCAGGCTCTGTGCTGGCCCAGGTTAAGGATCRGTGGTGAGGTGCTCAGAAGTGGGACGCCACTCCACTTACCTCCCAGAGATGCTGCGTGTTCCTCACCGCGCCCGCCTGCACCTTCTCCGGGGGCAGGAGCACGCCCTGGAATGGCCCAATCCAGGTACCCTGTTGTATCCTTTGTGCCGCGCAGATGCCATACGCCAGGCCCGGCACAGTACTGGTGCACAAGCACACCTCCCTTGGCAGGTCCCGAAGCCACTCAGGCAGCTCCGGTGGAGGTGCGGCGGCCGCGGCGCTGCTGGTGCCCACGAGCCGGCGCAGCGAGTGCAGCGGGCCGTGCATGGGRCACTCGCCGTTGCGGTTGTCCGCGCACATATCGCAACCTGCAGGAGACACGCGAGAGGAAAGGAAGGAAGAGGGTTAACCTGGTATCAGAGGCAGCTTATCATTTGATGGTAGCATCTAAGCCCGCCAGGATCGGCCACCTGTGGGGCGGGTGACGCCACGGGGGCGCCGAGGCCACCAGGAGTAGGAGAGAAGGGCCTTAGCACCCAAATCTGCCTGGCTGGGACCCTGGGCTCAAAACACCTTTGGAGCTGGATGCTGATAACATCTTCGCGCTCTGCACAGAACCGAATGCCCAAGGCCTCTCCTCCGGGTTTCCACCTCTCTTTCTCCCTCTTTCTCTGCCTCTTTCCTTCTCTCTATCACCAGAGAAGCCAGGTCCAAAGACTTCTATCAGGCGTTTCAGGAARTGTTTACCATCATACCCCATACCCGCCACCCAAAGTCCGTCTTTTGTCCAACCTGATATGTCAGAGATTCTACATTGGTCTTCTGATGAGATTTGGTTTTTCTCTTTTTACAATTTGAGAAGAGACGTTTTRAAATCACCAAGACAGGTGGGCAACAGACATCGCGACTTCTCAAAAACCTGCACAGGCAGAGCCCGCCTGGGGCAAGGTTGAAGCTCAGGTCCCAGCCCCTGGAGGCTGCGGGGAAATTGGACACTAGCCTCTGACTTCCCTGCTATCCCCCACTTCAGGGATTTCAGCCAGGAAAGGGCGAGTGAAGACTGGGAAATGGTTCTGGGAGGTTAGGTGTGTCTGTAATTGCGCAAAAACTCTTCTCAGAAGCCGAAACTAAGAGCAAATTTAATGATCAGGGTAATGGTTCAATGGAGAAGGCCCAACTCCTGACCTCTTCGGCTGATCTAAGGCAAAATGCGATTATCTTTTGCAGTAAACTGAAACTATTGCTGAAGCTGTCCTGCTCCGACTTTCTCCAGAGCAACCTGAGCGCAAGAGGACCTCCACCCTACAGTGGGCTAGTCATGAGCACCCAGTGTCCCTCAAAGGGGCCAGGCAGCCAGGGGGGGGAAGCAGGAAAAGCGACCGTGCTGTCGGATCGCAGTGCCCTCCGGGTTATTAATGGGCCTGACGGAGCCGCGGTGTCTGCGCCCCGGCGCGGCAGGCCTGCCCAGAGGAGGCAGCCTCGGCGCCCGCCGGCGCGACCTGGTCTCCCAGGCCCACCCTCCCTGGGGAGCCTCAAGCAACGCAGTCTGGACTGGTGAAGATGGTGAGATGCAGTCACTATCAGATGTGCCGGTGCTGGGACAGCGGCTCTCAGGGCCTGAGGCACCTGCACTGGCCCTTTGTCACAGGTAGGCCTGATGGATCACTCTGGTGTGTGTCACTGTGCAGAAACACTCAAAGAACTTGTATTGGTGAGGAACTTTTCAGGAACAGGGAATCACAATCCATTATGATGAGCAAACCCACCACTAACCATTTACTTCACAGCAGGCCAGGATTGACTATGTGAGCATCCTTTCTCAGCGGAAGGGATGCCAACCAGCTGGTGGTTCCCCTCTACTCCTTCCCCAGATAGCCCAAGGAATGAGGGAACATTCTGAATTGGACTTCTTGGAGGGATCACCATGCCTCTCAGGTGAGAAGCAACCACCTGTTTTTGCAGGTGGTGAAGTGTCTGAGCCTCCCTTAACACAAAGGTTTCCCTTTGTAAGTGACAACCTAATGTTAAACTGTTAAAGCTACACTTTTGAACCAAGGGCCTAGACAGAAGTAGGCAAACACTTATCCATAAGTCAGCTCCTCCAAAACACACATAYTTCACACACCCTCTCAAGCTTTTGATAGTCAAAATAAAAACTTAACAATGTGGGAATGGAAAAAAGAAAGACAATACCTTTACTGAGTGCCTACTATGTTCCATGCATATATCTTGAGCCATACTGCCAATATAGTATCTAAGTACCATGATTCTTATTTTGCAGATGAGTCAAATAATGCATCACCAGAATTGCAAGTTGACCAATTGTGAATCAACCAATAGAACTGAAATAGTTCACTTTACTAACTATTGGGGAGAGGCCACAAAACTGCTTTGGCATAATTAAGTTACAGAGATATCTCGATTTCCCACACTCTTAGATATGGGGAAACTGAAATAAGATAATGGATAGGAAAGTAAATAGCTAATGTCCATAATTATGAATGTTAGTGTCTAACTTTGGAGATGGCCTTTCAGCACCTAGCAAAAATAGTTAAAAAACAAGAGACAATAAGCAAAGGCAATGTGCCCATGACAATAAATATAAATCACCCTCAGAGAGTTGCTTAACGGATTTTTTCTTCCTGGTTGACTCAATGAAGCAAAGGGTGAGAAGCAAAAACATTTACTATTCATACCCCTAATGGCCTTTACCAGAGATTCTATCAACTTCCAATATCTCCACAAACAAAATCGCATCAATTAAATCAGTAATAAAATAAGGAGCAATAAACTCCAGCCACTATCCACCACAGACAAGAAGCACACTTCTAAGAATATTTGTAATGAATGTCAATAAAACTAAAGTTAAGTTCTTTCTCCAAGAAGTCCTCTAAAGCCCTCTCTTCAAGTCTCATGAAAAAAAAAAAAACTTAATAGTAGTATTTTGAAGAGTACTGAAAAAACCTAGGCTCCCCCAATACCTAAAAGACCACTTGTACATTAAGTCCACTGTAAAGTAGAGAGGTCCAATCCACTTTAACTAACCCACTCAACATGAGTTTAATTTGTAAACTACTTTGAGTTTTATCAAAATATTCTGCCTGAAAAGTTGGATTGCCAACTTTATGTTATATGCTAATGTTTTTAAGACAAAAGATCTCTCTATCTAAAAACATTTTACTTCTTATTTCTTAGAATCCCAGAGTAGTTTGACAAAGTTAAACTCGGTAACTTACTTCTCAGGGTTGACAAATATGTCACAAGTTGACAAATATTTTAGTAAGGTGTTTTCTAGCCAGCCAGCCATAAACACCTACATGAAAAGATTTGACAGAGAAGGTTAGATCCCCAAACTACTTATAAATATATATACAACACAATATATTATATGTCACCATTATATATATGCACACATACACATTTACATTACACACAGCATTTCAGTCCAAGCAATACATAAGACAAGTCCAGTTGCATTCATAAGGAGAAGATATATAAATATTCCCACTTTCAAAATCAGAGATGGAGTTTTTATACAAGTTCATAATTATTATTCATAAAAATTTCAATATGTATGAGATTTTCATATTCTCCAAGAGAGAGTCTTTGAAACCTGATTTTAACATTAGGGAGTATAAATTATCATAGTCCCCTTTCTATCTTGAGCTGTCTATGGGTCCCTGATTCAGGCAAGAGGCCATCTTTAGGTTGCAGACTTGTTCACCTACTGACTTCAGAAGGCCTGTCCAAGTGAAGTGGAGAGCAGACTTTCACTCTTCCTTTTATATTCTTATTGTGTGAATTTTTTTTACAAGTGTATTTACTTTTTATCATTATCATTTTAAATGAATCTATATTAAGGTAAATGGGGGCAAAGCAAGCCATGGTTTTCTTTCCTGGAATTTCATTTCTCATTCTAGGAAAAGTGAAACATAAAACGCTCCAGGGCTTTTGGTGTATGGAAAGGCCCAAAGGTACATATTGGGCATAGTCAGAGCCAGCGAGTGCCCGCCACGCCAAGCCTTTCCTCAAAGCCTCTCCAATGCTTCTGCCCGACTTTACTGCGCTCTGTTAGCTGAACCGAAGAGTAGAGATGAAAAGCTTGCTTTCCCGCCTGGGCGGCGGTACAGGCTTGGGCTGTAAATCCTCCCTGACCGCTGAGGTTGCAGCCCTCAGCCGGTCAAGCTGAGCCCTAGAGGCCAACGCCCATCGATCTGTGCCCGACGACGCGACCCCGGGAGTGCCGCCTGCTGGCAGAGACGCGTGCACCCTAGGTAGTGGTGGGGATGACTAACTGAACTGGCAGCCAAAGGCAGACTGATCTCGGCAGCTGGGAACCTTAGGACCAGGGTTCGCGCTCCCCACGCGTCAGACCACACTGTTCTTCCTGCCTTCCCACACTACGGGCGGGATGGAATGGGGGCAGTGCAAATGATGGGCGCGATGGGGAGCCCAGGCCTCGCACCGAAATCTGCGTTGTGAAGGCCTCGTCCCGCTTCTGCACGAGGTGGGTCACCAGGCGTGGCCGCTGCCACCCACACTCCGAAGGCCCCGCTGCACCCTGACACACAGTGGGCTCACTTCTCCAGCGAGCAAGGGTCTCTGAAAGTCCCTGGAGCAGTTCTAGAAGCAGATCCTGAGGCCCAGGAGRGTTAGGAAAGGAGAGGCCACAGAAAGAGGAGTCGGTTGTGGTTGTGTCCCAGCTGGGCGGCTCTCCTAGCATCCTCCCCGGGACTCCCTCTCTACTGGAGTTTAAAGCTCCCCGCCCCCGCGAATTGCAGATGCGCTGGGCTTTCTCTGCCCCGCCTGGCTGCCGCCTTGGCCCTGGGACCAAGTGGGAGAAACAAAAAGGGGAGGGAAGAAAGGGGGAAGGGAAAAATGTGGATTTTATTTGTCTTCCGATGACTGTATTAATAAATTAAATGGGAGCGCCTGTGTGTGAGGGTGAGAGAATAYTGCGCGGAGATAAACCTCGCCGGCCCCTGCTCCTGTGAGGCCGCCATATACAATGCGGAGATGATGAATAGGAGTCGGGAGAGGAGATCGAAGCGGGTCTGGGCTGGCTCACTCTCTCCTACAAAACTATAGGGCAATTAATTGTGGCTTGTCCCCTCATCCTTCATCTCCTGGTGGCACATATCGATGGAGATTACTGCTGATGGACCATTTTATCACCTTAAATAAACAGTCGCCACCTCTTCTAACCTCAATCTAATATATGACTCTATGTTCAGTTTCAGGGCGCTAGATAACGAATGATGTAAAATAGCTAAATCATGTGTGTTACGGAATGGGGCTGGGCCAGCACACAAAAAGAGAGAAAAGAGAAAAAGAAAAATAGAACAACATAAAAGCCCACACACCGACTGTGAGCCTCCCTCCCACGGGGACCAAGTCTGAAATCTAAATCGCTGATTGTGGAGTCGCGGCAGGAGGAGCACAGAGGATGTGCCTAGGTGGCACGCAGAGCCTACTGGTGGACCACTGACCACTGGGTTCGAAGCTCCCCAAAGAAGACTCTGCGTTTTCTAACCCGGACTAGTGCAAGGTCAGAAAACACTCTCCCTTCCTTATTTCTTTCCCAGATCCTATAGCAGGGGCTCTAGCAACCAGACAAGCCAGTCCTAGCCCCAGATTTCCTTCTCTCCCCAGCCCTTCTCCCCAAACTTTTGGCAAGTGTGACGCTGCCAACAGTGGGGCCTCCAATCCTGTTCCTACACTGGTGCACACACCGGCTCTGTTGATTCATTCTATTCCTTGCGCAGGAGGGTTCCAGCAAATCTGAGTGGATAGAGACCCCCCAACTAGGAAAGATTAAGGGTGGCTCAACTCTACGTCTAGACGTCCAAAAGATGTCTTATTTCCCGCCTCCCTGTCTGATACTAGGAAGGAAATTCTTACCAAAGCGTATTAAAAAACTAATTGGGCTGTGCGGAAAGACGACCTAAGGTCCTCCGTACAAACGCCAGGCAAGCCCAGTGACGGCGTCTCGCTCCCTTCCAAGAGTAGCGACAAGGTCACACACAACATACCAATTCCCAGAGCCCAAGAAGSGACCGCTGTGCTGGAAGCCTGACGGAAACAGCTTCAAGCAACTCAGAAGCTAATGGGGGCAGTAATACAAGACGTGGAAGAAAAGCCCCAGAGCCTCGACCCCACCCCTTCCCCTGCGTACTGGACGCAGCACTTGACTTTTAGGAGAAGCAGCAGTAGCTGCTGAGCATTCAGAGCTTCAGTGGAAAGTGTGTTCAATCACAGTAAACTGATGCACGGAGTTAGATAACAGAAATATACCGGAGGAGATCGCTTGGGCTAACTTGCAGTTTGAGCCGTTTTGAAATCTTTTTGTGTGAAAGATCTACAAGCTCCTTCACTATGGCATTTGCCATAGATGGACACTAAAGTTTCAGGGTGAAACAAGTGTTACTGGGTTCTTTTTTTACAGAGAATATTATATATTGCTGATGCCAGGCAAAAGTTACTCTTCTAAAGGGAAGGGAGAAATAAGGAAGCCCCTTTCTYTGCCTAGTAAGAAAAAGAGAAAATGTACTGGATACTCTTTAAAATACAAAGTGACAAAATGAAGCAAGGTTGAGTGGCCACTTCACAGATTTCTGTTAGAGGGAAATGGCAAGAAACTAAAAGGAACACTAGAAAACCTACACATGATAAATTAATAGGTGCTTCTCTTCTGCCTCCACCCTGCCTCTCACCACACCCCACCCACACACAACAGGGGAATGAGAAGCTTTTATTTTCAGTCTTTCAAATGACCTAAACCAAGAGGGGAAAGTGTCTCAGTTTTTGCATTTGTAATTTGTTTTAAGCCCCTACTTAGGTTAAGTTCAATCACTTTTTATCTTTGTAAAATACATCCCATATTTTCATGAGTGCCTAAGCTTGTTTCTCTTGAGAAGTTCCTAGAACCGGAAGCCTGGTCTTCCAGCATTACCCAGAGCTACCTTAGCTTTTTATTTTCTTTCTCAATGTCCCTTTAATTAGTGACCAACTTTGGGTATAACTTTAAGAGGACATTCTAACTTCTTCCCCCACCCCTTGCCCTGCACTCTGAATATTGAAACAGTCCAACTGACTCAAAAGGAGATGCCAAAAGATGAACACAACAGGAATAATTTAAATAAAATCATAACTCATTTCCTCCAATCAGAAAAAAGATACCTAGGCAATAAACTGGTTCAATATCCATATATTAATTAGTAATCTATCCTAATTCTTTCTCTGACTAGTCTACATTTCCTCTAGTGAAAATATAATAAATCTCAAGACTGCATTGTAAACAATTTAGGGAGTCTGACACACAGTCAGGGCTTTGGGGTGTGTTGCTGTTGTCTTTTCCAGCACTGTTAAATTCAGAAAACTCTGCAAGCTTCATGAGACATGCCCAACCTACAATGGCTATAATCCACAKAGCAGTAAGAAATGCCTTTTCTGGAGCATTTATTATTTTCCCCACATTTTAAAAGAATTGCTTTGAAAACAACCCAAGTAAGAAATTCATTAAGAAATAAATATTTTTTAAAATCCATTACAAGAATATAATTTTATAAAATGTTAACTGAAATTTTGAAACATGAGTTTTCTTAACTGCATACAAAATTAGGATTAAAACTCCTATTTTAAACCAGTACTTTACCCTCAGATTGTAGAAAGGAAAAAAGTAAATACAACTGCTTTTATTGTTAATGGTGGGGTGGTGGTGGTAGTAATTATTATCTCTGGTTATCACAGCAATTACCTCCAACCATTATGAAAAGATTAATACACCTAAATCACTATGCTAACATCCAATGTTTTCCAATCCAACCAACTACTTAGTGATTCCTTTAAATTGCTGTAACTCAAGTTATTTTGCCTTTATAACAAATTAAGAAGTTTGTGAAGTTATAGATATTCTTCAAGAAGAAACTCCTTCAAAATAGAATAAATGTAAATACTTAGGATCAACTTTCCTCATACAGAAGCCAGATGAAGAAAATAGCTGAAATGCATGCTGATCCTTCAAAACCTGTCTTGCTTTCAGTGTGATTTTCTTAGTCTGCTTTAATGTTATCTCCAAAGGTCTCTGGAAGAATAACACTAATCCCAAAGCTTTAGGCATACATACACCATAACTTCTGAAATTACTAATAAGAAATGGATATAAAGCAATTACATATTCATGATTTTCATTAAGAGTTTTGCTTCAAAACCTCAAAATGGAACTGTACTTGCCATAAGCATTTGAAAGCGTGAATATAGAAACCGAGCAAGAAGAGTGTTGGCGTTTAGATAGGCATTTACAATTTTCTGTAAAGACAGTAACCTTCTTTTGTTAAATTACTGTCACTCTTAACTTTAATAAATAAGTAAATGAGCCAACGTTTCAGGATCAAGGGTGCTCAGAGAATGCGGGATTCTCAGGGAACGACCCTTTCCCGAAGTCGGAAATTATCGGACATTATTCTTTTCCTCCTTTTCTAGATAAACAGTAGACCTATGAATAATGCCTGTCTGTAAGGAGAGACCCATTGTCATCCAGAACCTCTACTCCAGTGAGGCCACGCCAGCCAACAGCTCCTGAAGGATTCCCGACAACCCGAGGCCCGAAAATGAGCTTATGCTGTTAACTCCAGAGATGAGGTGTAAAGATAAAAACGCCGACTTCCACGTTCCTCAGAAAAGCTGAGAGTCCCTCCCTCGTCCAGGTTAAGGCTAGGTTGGACCAATCCCGGGCACTCCCCGTAGTGCGATGCCAGTACCAGCCCGACCTAGAGCACAGTCCGACAGGAGGGCGGGGGTCTGTATGTCCTAGTTGGGGGCAACTCTGGTCCTAATAACTTGGGGCTGTGAAGCGAGGGATGAATTAAGGGGAAAGAAATAACACCAAGGTGCCACCCGATCATCCCATTTGATTTTCTTCCTTCTACAACGCCAGAAAACTTTTGCTACAGTGATCTGGGAGGCGCCCGACCGTATCTTGGACCAGCACCCCATACCCGGTTTCACCCTATTCGGACCCGCCTCTCCAACTGGCGCCACAAGAGAAAGCGCGAAGGCTGCGACTACGTACGGTTGTTGGGGTCGCTGGTGTGCTGGTTGAGTGGGATGATCTCCATGCGCTGCTGGCCATACAGGTAATAGTCCAGCTCTTCGGCGCTGCAGCGGAAGCGCGGGACGCCCCGGCTATCCCCGCTGCCGCCACCGCACTTGGAGAGCCCTGAGCCCGAGATAGCTCCGAGGCACAAGTCTTTTGGGGGCAGCGGCTCCGTGGCCACGGTGGCGGCGGCTAGAGGCGCGAACACCGGCAGCTGCGCCACCGGCAGAGCCGAGAGACCCGCCAGCGCGGCGGCGGCGGCGGCGGCTGCCGCGGCAGCAGCGCAGGAGGAGGCAGAAGAGGCTGAGGTGGAGGAGGAAGCCGGGGTGGACGAAGCCGAGGAAAGCGAAGCCGGCCGCGGACGCAGGCTGTCCGGCGGAGGCTCGGAGCGCTCCTGCGGGGGTGGCGGCGGCGGCGGCGGCGGCGGCTGCAGGGGTTGAGGCGCGCCCAGAGGACCAGCGGCCCCGCTGCCTTTGAGCGGGCCGCCGCCGCCTCCGTGAGGGAAGAGTTGCTGCCAGTGCTGCAGGTAGGCTGGGTCCACTTTGAGGAAGGCCGAGCCGCCGGGGTCTCCCGGCTTCAGCATGTCCGACGCCTGGAGCTGGGGGCAGAGGGCAGAGAGGAGGGCGCACGTGAGCCAGACCCCGGTCCTGGGCAAGAGGGTCTGGGAGGAGGGCCGCCGCGACCCTGGAACAAGCGCCAGAGACCCTGGCTCCGCCAGCAGCAGTCGGTTTGGCGGCTCCCTCTTTCCTAACTCGGGGCTCAAAGTTTACTCCCAAGCCATGCCACGCGTGTAGCTGCACGCACCCTACACTGCCTCCAGCCTGCGATCTCAGCTTGCACCGTGCAAGGCTGGGACCCGGTGAGAAGGCGCTTTCCCCGCGGAACTCGGCTGCAAGACGCAGCCCCCGCCCTCAGCCAGCGCCCTGGAGCCGACCCGAGCCGAAGTGGCGCAGAGCCCGAGCCGCGTTGGCCTCAGGCGCCGGGAGGCGGGACAGTCTCGCCCCCCGCCCCCAATCTGAGACCTCCAACCTCCCTACCCTTGGGGCCCCAGACTCCTAGCCCCAGGGGAGCCTCACTTTACCTGGAAACTCAGAGCCACTCGGAGCCGCGGTGGGTGTGTGCGCGTTTGCGGGGTCTCGGCTAGCGAGCCGGAGGGTGTGCGTCCCGGGTGCGCTACATGCCCGCAGGCAGTGTGGGTGGAGAGCCTTAGAGATCCCGCCGCCAGGAACCCTCCAGGGATTTGAACGAAGAACTTGTAGGCCCGCTGAGGGCGCCGGAGGGCAAGCGTACCCGAGCCGGACGTAGCCGCTGTGGGCTGCTGAGCTTGGCCGCTGTCGCGTCCCGGCTCCTGGGCTCCACTCTGGAAACCTCCTGCCTGGACACGTGGGTTTTACGACAGCACAAAATACAAGTGTGTGCGTGTGTTTGTGTGTGTGTGCGTGTGTGTGTGTGTGTGTGTGTGTGTGTGTGTGAGAGAGAGAGAGAGAGAGAGAGAGAGAGAGAGAGAGAGAGAGAAAGTGGGGTGGGGGAGGAGGCGGGAGGCAGGCCAGAACGAAGGGGAGGGGAGAGGGAAGAAGGAAGTTCTAACTCGGCTGGACCCACTTACAGCCCGTGCGCCTCTCTCGCACAAATACCTCCTCTGCCCTCCCACCCCCCACTCTTTTTGGTGTGACGTCTCCAGCTCGCCTGTTGTCTCTTTCTGTCCGTATGTATTTTCTAGGTGCCGGAGCAGTGCCTTGATCCTGAAAGCAATGGGAATGCAGAAACCAGAATGCATCTCTGCAGACGCTCGGTGTCCGCTCCGGAACAAGCGCGCGCCTCAGGGCGAGTAGACCCAGACCCGGATCGAGTTTGCACTTTATCCCGGCTGGGTTTTTCCTGGAGTGCTGCTAGGTGCCAGAGTCGACTTGCCCGCCAAGCAGCCTCTAACATAAATCCTCCAGGGAGAAAAGTTGGGGGTAGGTTGCGCTGGAGGGAAACCCTCAGACTGCAGCTGAGGAGCCAACTTGGCGATGTGGAAGGCATAGGATCGAGGGTCTCTAAAGAGCAGATTATCCTGGCGGGACTCCAGCCTAACCGTAGGGCTGGGAGGCGTCTGCAATGGAGTCTGCACACCCAAGCGCTCAGCCAACTCGCTCTCCGGTTGTCTTCCTGGAGGGCTGTCCCCCTCTTCTTGCTGGTAGCTAGAGCCAAGTATCCAGAGCTATGTCTGGTGGCACAACAGTTCCTGGACAAGGGCGAAGCTGTTTGCCTTCAGCTTCCTGGGGGAGCTGCCCAGGTCAAGGATAGGTTTCTCTCCCCAAAACCTGGCTTGGAGTTGCAGGGTAGGAGCACAGCTCCACTCCCACGCGCCCTCTCCTAGAGCTTTGAACTCCAATCACCCTTTGATGGGCGGTCTAGCATTCAAGAATTAGACTCCCCCGGCGTAGAGGGCACCCATGGGCTGTATGAAATTGACCCACCTAGGCCCTTTCCCTTAGCCAGAGTTCAGTCCACACCTCAAAGAGAAAATATGGCATTTATCTTTACTCAAACAACAAAATTTATTTAGCACTCGTCACTCTGAACAATTAATAGCCATTCTTTCCTAATTTCTGCTTGTTTCTTTTTCTCTTCCCACCACTCATTTTGTTCGAGCCTGGGAAATGAGCTGTTCAGACTTTGTCCGGGTCTCACGCAGGATACCTCGATGCTGATTGGAACAGAGTTGGACCGAAAATGTTTTGACTGGCATCCTTATGACATGGTCATCTGTCATCCCTGGATAGATTGATAGCACCCAAGTCTAAGGCAAACACCACAAGGGAAAAGCCACCATGCTGTGGACCCCCAGGCTAACCAGGCAGTCTTCATAGACTTTGGACAACTCCTTCGGGAGAAGATGATGAAGTTCCAGGCCCACTTTAATTTAATCGGCTTGAAGAGTGGCTTCTGGGCCAAGGAAGGAGAAAACTCTTGTTCTCACATTCTCCCAGTTCATTGTTGAAAAACCAGGACGTTTCTCTGTTCCGTGGGAAAGGCAGGAAGCTCTGAAGATGGAAGTCCCAACGCAGAGGCAGCGGCCCCTATGCACCTTCTTGTTTATTCCCCAAACTGGCTGTTTCCAAGCTCTTGACTGCAGGACTTCAAGTCCCAAAGAATCCTTTCCCCTCATCCTCTCTGGCTGAAAAGTCTTAGGATTTTGAGATGCTAGTTACTACAACTGCTTCGGAGGCCTTATGACCACATTCTAGGAAGTTGTTGTTGGTGGTGTGGTGAGGTGTGGTGTATTTTCTCATCATAGTAAGATTAGCTGACCGGTTACTGAGAACTTTGAACGTGCCAGCGCGATAGGCGTTTAACGTGCATTTAGTCCGCCTAGCAGCCATGCGAGGCAGGCATTGTCATTACCTCCTATTACAGATGGGGACCAAGGAGGTTCAGAAAGGCCGGGTAGGTTGCCTGAAGTCACGCCACTAATGAGTGATGGAGGCAGATTCAAATCCGGGTCAGTGAGGATGCCAAGTGCATTCCGGTCGGTCACCCTCCTCAAATCTCTAGCCACTCCATCCGAAATGATGACAGAGGGAGTGTATCATAGGAAGTGTTTGACTTGCTTGGGGCCTGGGGACAGGCAGAGAAGTTAGCGAAGGTTCCCTGTCACTATGCCTATACATGGAGTATCTGACCTGTCAAATTCCTATCACTATGCTTGTCCAGGCTCTCCCCAGCGCCAGCGGCCCCAGGCACACCAGACCAGCAAGACGACCTAAGCCGAGGTTCCAGTGTCAAAGGGACCTTTAATGAAGGAAGCAGGCAGAATTCGGGTTCGGAGGGCTTGGGAACAAACAAAAAGGTCTGGGGTCGCGGGGGAGTGTTTCGGGAGTCTGGACATCCCTGGCATGGGGCTGGCTGAGGCAGAGATCAGCGCAGTCCCGGCACTGGGATCACCCCTGTGAGCAGTGCCTTGAGCGAAACCACTGAAAGCTCCGCAGCGTCATGCTCTTTGCCGAGGTCGTTTCCTCCTCCCGCAGCTGACCCTTGGGCCCACCTGGTCACCCCTGCACGTCTGGCGGCGGTTGGGTAGAAACTGAGTCCGCTGAACGCGAAACATGCACCCCTCAAATTCGCTCCCCTCCTCTTCATTACTTACAAGACGGCGGAAACAAATCACTTCGACCACTTAGGAAGCGATCAAACCTTGATAAAAATCCATGCTCCCAAATCGATGGGKGAATATTTGCTGGGAATTTGTTCCAGAGGAATAAATAAGGAGCGTGAGTATATTAAATGCAAACGGGGGACACGATGGTGTTTTTCTTCATTGATTAATGACCTCTAAAATAAAACAAGTGGGAAGAGGAGTCGGGATCGATAAATTAACTACCCAAATTCATCATTTTCTCTAGCATTTTCCCCCCGAAAATTATCCTTAGAAAGCCTATTGTACACTTAGCTGGGAGGGGAAGAATGGAGCCAAAAGACAGAGCAGGGAAAGAGTGGCAGGAAGGGGCAGAAAAACAAGAAGACCTGTCTGGGAGACCCTTTATCTGATTTCGTTTGACATACAATTAAAAAGTTTGCCTTTTATATAAATTTTTTCCTGATGGGGGAGGGGAACAAATGGTTGTTGCCTTTGACAGGACTCCAATAAAGGATTCAGCAGCCCTCTTCTCTGCCCTGGGTGCTCCTGTTTCTAGGTTTAAGGTCACGGGTGGCTGAGTTAATAATTCATTAATATAGACATTTATTCAGAAGGGTTTCCTGAGATCCACTCTCCCTGCCTCCTCCTAGAGATTTATTTTCCTGGGAAATGGATGGCAGGGATGGGGGGGGCAGGACTGGGCTGCAGGTGAAAGGAGGTGGGTAAGAAGAAAAGGGAAAATGAAGATTCTGGTTCAGCTAAGAGGAAATCTTTGCTGAGCCATGATAGTGGACAGGTCCCTTTAGCCTTCCATCCAAAACTTAGCTGAAAACACAGGGATGCTGACCTCCAGTGCTTCTTTCTCCTGCTTCTACAGATGTTCATTTGTTTGTGCAGAAAGCTCCTTTCCACCAAGATTTAGGAGCTGGGAAAAGTCATCTAACTGAAAACCTAGGAATGCAAGCAAAGGAGAGAGAGCTCTAGAAAGAGAACACCTCAYCCCTACCCCTATGAAGTTTCCAAAGGGAGACTTGCCCTGACCTGGAAGGAACTTCCTCTGCTAAAGGCATAGGCAACCTATGAGCACTTTATCCCTAAGAAGTGGGACAAAGGGGACAATACAAAACATTCAGCTCCTCAGGTTCACACTCCAGAGGGTTGGAGACTGAAAGTAAACAATAAATGAATAATTGTTAAATAGTAATAAATTCAATGGAAGGCAATTTAAAAAGGAAAGGAGGAAAAGACAGTGTACAAGGTCGGAGGGAGATACTGTTGTGCATATATTAGTCAGAGAAGAGTTCTCCTTGAAGAAATTTGAATAGATACTTAAAGCAAGAGGAAGCCAGTTTTGTGCCCAGAGAGAGGCATCCCTTCCTAACCTATGGCACAGGGCTAAAGCAGTAAAAGCGGCCTCTACTGAAGGACTGTCAAGGCCCTGGCTCTGTAAAAATTCTGCC